TGAAGACTGTTAGATCCAGGTTTAGGTAAGATGATTTTGGTGTTATTCATTTTCAGGCAATCCTCAGTGTGCTCAGTAAGTTTTTCGTTGCTTCTGAAATAGTGAAGACAACGATCGCAAATAAATAACTTGTGCTCATTTGTGGATACTTGGTTGTTTATTAGTCGCGATAAAGATTTTATCCAAACATAGTGGTATTTGTTGGAAATTAAGGAATCTTCTTTTTCTTCTTTATCATCATCCTCATCAATGTAGTGATCATCAACACGTAAAAGATTAACATGTTTGGACCGTTTCTGTGAGGTTAGGTTTATTGGCGAGACTGTGAATTTCCCCTTTCGTTTAACAAGACAATAAACGTTTACTAAAATATTGTTAAGCACTTCAAATCTTGCAACGTCATTGAGTGCTACGGAGAATTTAATATTAGTGAAATTTAAATGATGTTAAATATATTCATAGTTTTGCAAACGAGATGGGTTTGAAGAAGCTTCATACAATGCTGATAATATTGCCCACTTGAAGCATTCATTATCCTTTTCATTTCTAACATTGACACAGGCACGTTTAGCTTTAATAGGTGGCGGTAGATCAATGAAAGAACCAACACGCAAAGGATTGTATTTGTTAATATTGACATCTAATTTATGGATTGAATAGAGTTGCCAATTTGATTCTTTATCTTGAAAATCTTCAATTTCTTTAAGTGTTTTCTGCATTACATAATCATTATACCAATCGCGTAATTCAGTTGAAGGGAAAATTAACTCTGACTTATTAATGAAATATTTTATATCGAATTCTGTACTACCGTCAGGTAAAAGCTTTTTATATTTAGCATTGAATACTGTATATACTTTCAATGGACCGAATGTGTCTAAACAAGTTCTAATATGTTTTCTAAAGGAACAAAGGCATCATCTAAGAATTCATTAACATCTAAGTGACTTCAATTAATGACAGTGCCGGTTTGTAATCGATTATTAAAAGCCGAATCAGTTAGAGCCCATTTAATTTTTTCATTTGATTGGTTAAGTCCTGCACCGCACTTCATCAGCGAATCAAAGTGGCATTTCAAGTAATTTATATGATGTAATAACGTTAAGATCCTATGTTTTTGAGAAACTGAGAAGATATATTTTCTAAAAATTTAATTAAAATTGTATAATTTTGTATAGACTTGTGATGCCATTGAAACGCGATGAGTCGATCATCATCGGTTTTTCTAGAGCATAACTCTATATTGGCAGCATCAATTAAATTGTCTAAGGCTTCACAAATCTCATTGAAACTATCAATAGAGGTGTATGGTTTAGATGTTTCGATATTTCTACGATTAGCCATTTTTTTTAAATTCTGAAAAGCATTGTATAAGGAAAAAGCTGAAAAATCTGAAAAGAACGCTGAAAATAACCTAAAAAATCTGTAAACCTAATGAAGAGAATTTGGAATAAGTTGGAAAAGAAGTAGTGGTAGTGAAGGGAGTGGGGTGGGGTATAGTCCTCGATGACAACTGCTTTTTAAAGATGTCTGCCGAATACGATGTTGCGAAGCTTCACTTTGCTCGTTTAAGTATAACTGAAACAGAAACAAAATTACAATCAATTTGATGCATATTAAGATAAATGTTTGTAAAAGACATGTAAATTGAGTAAACTTACAATGTACCTCTGAAGAGGATTGCTGTAGATATATGACTAGTGCCAGAGGTCTGATGTTGCTGATTCTGGAAGCTAGAACAAAAAGGCTTTCCTTGCCACGGGAATCGCCTGAGGTACATGTAGTCCCCACCATACACAACATCCCACCACTGAACTCCACTCCCACTTGACGCATGGACTACCAACGGGCCCCGGTGACCGTACACTCAAATCTCCCGCGCACCTTTCACTTTTGAATCATCCACTGTGCGCCACCCACAGCCACCCACTCCCAACCACCCACAGTCCCGCGCGGTATCTCGTGAACCCTTTGTTCCTCGAGGTTCTAAATATGATTTTTGAATTTTTGGGACAGTATATGTTTATACTGAAAAGGGTTATGCAAATTATGGTGGATGGGCGACTAAAAGGGTGAAAGTTTAAAAATACATATGAAAATTAGGGGGGGGTAGGTGGCCAAGAGGGTTGAAAGAAGGTGGGGTAAGGGGTGGTGGGAGGTGATCAAAAGGGTTAAAATTCAAAAGGTGGGTGGCCAACAGGGTTGAAAGTGGGTGGTAAGGGGTGGTGGCGGTGATCAAAAGAGTTAAAATGCAAATTAGTGGGGTGGTGGGTGGTGAATAAAAGGGTTAATATGCAAATTATTGGGGTGGTGTGGGGCCAAGAGGGTTGTAAAAAGGGTTTCAAGGTCAAACTGTTTTAGAACCGGCACAGCCCTACTACTCGCGCGGTTAGAGTGCGGGCGTGTGATCAATTGTCTCTATCTCAAAAAACTATCTCCATAGAGATAGTTAAAAAAAAAATTTTTAAATCCGATTTTGAGATATACGTAAATTAACATTTTGACCTTGAATTTCAAGGTCAAATTTTATTTAAAAAAATATTTTATCATCATCGTGTAGCCCGTCAAAAAAGCTCTAAAAATCGTTATATGTATTTGTTTACTTTTATGCATTCTACTTATAAATATTGTACATTGAAATTTTTTTTTAAAAGTCAAAAATTAAAAATGTAATTCAAAAACTATTTTATTAAATTCAATAATTATTGATTTTTAAACTTTTACTAACAATTACAACATTTTAGAAAAGTATGGATTAAATTCGAGAACTTTTAATTTTTTGATCGGTCATTTCAGGATCTTTGCCTCATATATGTATTTTTAGGCAGTATTGTTGTTTGCTCGGTCGACTACTAAGGGCGCTTACTATATTATTTACGCGGGAATGTTTAAATAGTAGTTGAAATAGTACATAAGTAATGATACTATACATGACGGACGAATAGTAACGACATATTTAACAAATAATAAGAAGATAGAGTCTCAGCTTTTATATTATTCAATATTATCTAACGGCGTAAGAGAGTAAATATGATATATATCTCTATTGAAATTTCCCATATAATTTCCAACTTAGTATCTTATCTAGACAACTAAAACAGTGAAGTCCACAAATAACATAATAAATAACATAATTCCATATGGATCATATGTGGTGAATTTTAAGTTCTTATATACATTTCTACATAGAATCATCATAGTTTTACTGTAACACCGCAAAATAGTGAGATTTTTCTCTCACAGTTAAGATCAGACTTGAATACTATAAGAGCTGAGACACTAACTTAGAAAGTATATTGTAAGCCACAAATGCTGATCTGTTTAGATGGATTGTAATAATATTATTTGATTTTTAATTAAATTGAGAATTAAATAATTTTAAATTTTTGTAAATTGCCGCCTGCATAACGCATTCTTCTAGAAATTCCCATATGAAATGGTATATTGGTTCCTTTATATAAATCCATGTGAAATTTTTGGTTCATATTTAAGTACCCACATGAAATCCTATATGGTATCTTATAGTACGGGAGCCAGCGACAGATTTTGGGGACCAATTTCCTCTCAGCCGATAATTCAAGAAATAATTGGAGCAGTTGTGTCATGAAGCTTCTTCATCGTCGACTGCGCTACCGGCGGTGGGATAAAGAGCTATCCCTCAATGACGTAAAGAAAATATATTTTCAGTTATTTCCTCCCGACTGAAAATTTGTTAGATAATAGGTTACATCATAATTTAAAGAAAAAAGTGAGATTTTCTCTCAATCAAAACGTAGCCAGATTATTGTTTACATTCCAATTTAAAGAATTAAAAACGTCAAATGGCTATATATAAGTGGAAAAATCGTCAGCTGGATCAGTGAATGGTATGTGCGCTAGGAACCAGGCAATAACACCATATTAAATTAAATTTATTACTTGAAATTCAAATAGAATTGCGAGTTTTAATTGAATATTGAGATCCTTTATTTTAAATTAAAATAGACACTTTGAATTATGACTTTAAATACAGTTTAAACAGTAAAATACGTTACAAATAACAGTTTTGTGTTCGATAAAAAGTTGCTTTAAAGAAACAAAATCTTTTCCATAACATTATAGGCCAATAATTTTTCAAGGAAAGAAATTGTTTGCTGTGTTTCTTCAGTCACCAGAGCGTACTGAAATCTGGGCAAAAAAATCCCGACAATTGGCGGAATTTTATAATTTAAAATTGGCTTTTGAGGTACATCGGATTTGAAAAAATGAATAATACAAACACTGACCCAGCTCACGATCTTTCCACCCGCATACAGTTAGCTGAAGTTTTTATTTCTTTAAATTTGAATATAAACAACAATCTAGCTAAGTTTCGATTTAAAGGAAATTACTGAAAACATAATTTTTTTACATGTTCGAGTAACCGACTGACGTACAATCCACCATGTTACAGCCAGCTGACATTTTTATTTCTTCAAATTATGATGTAAACTATCATCTGACAAATTTTCAGTCGGAAGGAAATTACTGAAAATATATTATTTTACGTCATTGGGGTGGGGTATAGCTCCCCATACCACAGCCCGTAGCGCTGCTGCAGATCACGAGTCTTTATGAGACAACTGCCCCAATTGTTTTACGAATTATCGTCTAGGAGGAAATGACCGACCAAAATCTGTCGCTGGCTCCTAAACTATTATATTTTACTCATTTATGTAAAATTTTATATAACGAAATCTTGAGGATTTCCCCTGATATTTTTTGTAAGATGTAATGTGGATAATTATGAAGAAAATTTATATGGGAAATTGATAAGAAAAAGTGTAAGTAATTACATGAGAATCCACATGAATATTTATGTATAATCACATATGGCTCATTTCTCTCATGATTCTCATTGATTTCTGATCCCAATAGAACAATATTTAATTTTCATAAACTGAAATTTGTATGTAATAGTTTAAATTTAATAGTAAAATTTTTAAAAAATTACATTTGTAAACTTTATGATATATTTTCAGGAATAAGCATACTATATAGGAAACCAATAAAGCAACCGCCAAACCTATTTTCATTTCTCAGCCCTCTAAGTTTAGACGTTTGGATTTATATGGCAACAGCATATCTTGGAGTTTCTGTACTACTGTTTATACTAGCCAGGCATGTATTACTATAGATCCTTGCTCTTTTATACATTGTGAAGTACAATTTCGTACGAAAAAAATATTACACAGTCTTTTGAACTATAAAAGACTGTAATACGTATATGTACTTAAAAAGAGATAAAATGTTTTACTGTAACTTTCCGCGTAGCGTGCTTCCTTCGTCATTAAAGAAAAAAATAATTAGTATAGAAAATTTTTTTGGATTTCTATAATGTAGTAAAGATGTTAATTGTTTTTTTGGTTGAATCCACATTTTATTTTTAAAATTCGTAATTAAATGAGCTTTTGCCCGTCAACGTCGGGCCTCATCAGATTTAAAAACAATATGAACTTCCACCCTCATTTAATAATTTCAAATAAAAAATCGGACAAGTGCGAGTTACACTCGCACTAATTCAACGGTTCCGTACACCAACAATAATAAACTCTTTGTTATATAAATAAATAAAGATATATAAATAAAGAAACACATTTAAATATCTACTTTGTATAACTTTTATTTTTGATACTTTCACTCAATGTGAAACTTGTGTTACAATTTTTTGCCAAAAATATTGTTTCGTATGATCACGTGTCTCAATAAATAACATGGCTCAATATTTACTCACTAATTATCGCATATATGCAAGCCACAGTCGAACTTACCGTCAGCTCAACCGTGACTGCCTGCTAAACATATACTCATAAAGTATATCATATTCACAAGTTCCAGTCGAACTTATCGTAAGCTCAACCGTGACTGCCAGCTTAGTACCTATTCAGAAATTATCGCATATCCGCAAGGCCCAATCGAACTTATCGTGAGTTCAACCGTCTAACCAAATAAATTAAATGTAACATAAGAATATTATTTTGTTTTAAAAACAAGTAAAATTTTTTTTCTAACAACAATTCTGTAAACAATTATTTTTTTAAAAATTAAAAAATTGTTTTTAAACAAAATAATATTTCTTATCTTATAATTGTTGTTTAACCATTATTGTTTAAAAAATTGTTCCTTAAGAACTTTAAAAACTGATGTCTTATAAGAATTATATTTTGCCATTATGCCTTTATTGTATCATTAATTTTCTTAATGTTTCTACTGCTTGACCTATATGACACATTGTAAGTCAGAGTCGCAAGTCCGATACACTGCGGTATGAATAATTAAAATTAAAAACTTCGTGCCATTTCTTTTCTCAACGGAATATTTTTCAGAAATGTTTAAAGAACAAGTGGTTTTCTCAGATTGGAAATATCATACAGAACACTTTCTTATTAACGTCTTATAAATAAACAATAGATTTTTTACTAAACTATTAAAAACACACTTTATAACGAAAAAGAAAATAAGGTTTTGTGTGGCTCCTTTCATAAATACTGACTCGTTTAAAGAATATTTTGATAAAATTTCTAAGTAATATATGAAGAAAGAACGGATTGGCACGTGATTTTCGAAGACGCCTCTAAAAAATAACTGTTTTGCCTTGTTCATCGTAAGTCGAAACTGGATCATCTGAAATTAAAAACCCAAAATTTTATTTTTAGCTAATGAGGACCTTGTGATAACTCTATCGAGTTTTTTTATCTGTTTGGGGATCACACGTGAAGTGATAAGTAATTGTAGTACTCATAGATGTTAATCTTTGGCAAATATCTTTTTTCATTTAGTCCAATATTTACCAAAGAGGAGAGGGTGAATGTTTTGGGGTTTTACGCTACACCGCATGTTTTAATAATTTTTTGCTTCCTCGTAGAAAGCTTCATAGTGATGACAATTTTCGAACTTCGTAAAATCAATTATTTTAATAAATTTTAACTAATATAGTTATATTTTGACATGAGGAACAAATGTCCAGATGTATGTGTGTGGATGTGTGTGTATGGCACCGTTTTTTGTGTACAAATTATCTCGAATAAATGTTGACGGATCGCCCTGAAATTTTGCATGCTAATTCTACTTACTAATACCAAAAATCAGACACCAGGATTTCCAAAAATATCCACACAATTTTTTTTGGGACCACTTTTTCAAAAAGTTAAAAATATATTTTTTAATAAAAAAGCTTTTTATTTTAAAATTTCACATTATTTATTTTAAAAATGTATTCTTTGCGTTAAAACGAATTTTCTAACCTATATTAAGTTCATATTTTACCTAAATTTATAGATGAAATCATTATTTTTATTTTTTCAAAAAATTTAAATTTTTTGTTTTTATTAGATATTTTTTTTCTTTTTTCTTAATAAAAATTTTCAAAAATTTTACTCCAAATTTTACGCAAAATTGCATTCCTTATATAGAAACTAATTGATTGATCTATATATTTTACCTTTTATAAAATTAATCGTTATTTTTAACGTCAACAAAACGTTAATACATTCGATATACATTATTTGAAAGAACTTAAGAAAAAGAAAAATTTAAGAATTCACAAAAACTTCTTCAGGAAATGCAAAATCGAAATTGAAATAAATTAAATTAAAAGTATTAATTTTTTTTTTAATTTAAATTAAATTAAATATTTTCTTCGAGGAAGCATAATGTTCGTCAAATGAACATCACAATAATGTAATATAAATGTCCACCCCTTTTTTCTTAAATATAAAAAAAAAATTTGAATATAAGAATAACGAAATTGAAATAAATTAAATTAAAAGTATTAAAAATTTTTTTTTTAATGTAAATTAAATTAAATATTTTCCTCGAGGAAGTATAATGTTCATGAAATAAACATTACATTAATGTAATATAAATGTCCACTCTTTTTTTCTTAAATATAAAGAAAATTTTTTTTTGAATATAAGGTCTTTCGATTGGTAATATGTATTTTTGAAAACAAATTTCTTGACAAAAAAAAATTAAACTCAAAAATAAATTTGACCTTTTTGGGGTGTTCTTTTTTTCAATCGAAAGCTGAGGTTTTTGCCTACAAAAATATATAGTTGGAAAAATGGGTCAAGAATGTTTAAATATTCATAATTAAAATTTTTTTGCCTTTATTGACCATTTTTAGGGTTCCGTACTCGGTTCGGAACCCTATTAATATCGGTTTTTTTGAAATCGTGTACCCCCCCCCTAGCGGCCACACAAATTTATCTGGAGGGCTGACAATTAGTACACATATGTATTTTCGCGTGTAGATTACAGGAAAATTATAGCGAACTTGATTGGAATTGATTAACATAGCGTTGTCAAGGAAAAACCATGAATTTTTACGAAAAATGCCTAAAAATGACTATGTACCCCCCCCCTAGCGGCCACATCTTTTGACATAAAGAGCTCAAATTTGACACACTTACGTATTTTTACGTGAAAATTACAGGAAAATTATAGCGAACTTGATTCGGATCAATTTACATAGCGTTGTCAAGGAAAAATCAAATATTTCGAAAAAAATTATTTATTCTCCCTAGCGCACACAATATTCAACCCAGACAATTCATATTTAGTATACAAATGTATTTTTACGGGAAAAATACAGGGGAAAAAAAGCGGTCACGATTAGAGTTGATGATTAACTTTTTATCAAGTTTTTCAAGAAAAAATGACAATTTTAGGAAAAAAATGTATTTTTCCACCAAAAACGAACAAAATTTTATTTAAAGGAAATTAAATTTATATATTTTAACGTATTTTTTTGTGTAGATTACAAAAAAAATATAGCGAACTTGATTGGAATTGATTAACATAGCGTTGTCAAGGAAAAACCATGAATTTTTACGAAAAATACCTAAAAATGACTATGTACCCCCCCCTAGCGGCCACATCTTTTGACATAAAGAGCTCAAATTTGACACACTTACGTATTTTTACGTGAAAATTACAGGAAAATTATAGCGAACTTGATTCGGATTAATTTACATAGCGTTGTCAAGGAAAAATCAAAAATTTCGAAAAAAATGATTTATTCTCCCCAGCGCACACAATATTCAATCCAGACTGTTCATACTTGCTGTAAAACTGTATTTTTGCGTGAAAAATACAGGGATAAAATGTAAGCACGATTGGAGTTGATGATCAATTTTTATCAAATTTTTGAAGAAAAATGATAAATTTAAGAAAAAAATGTATTTTTCCGCAAAAAAGTTGATCTAAAGTGATTCAAATTTATATATTTTTACGTATTTTTACGTGTAGATTACAAAAAAAATATAGCGAGGATGATTGGAGTTGATTTTTCTGGGGCTGTCAAGAAAAAACTGATAATTTTAGAAAAAATCATAAATTTTCTCCCAATAAAGGAAAAAATTTTTTCTAAAGGGCTTCAAATTTACTATTTTTACGTATTTTTATGTGTAGATTATAGAAATAATTTAATAAACATGATTGAGTTTATTTCTTCAGTCGTTACAACTCTAAAACAAATAAAATCGGACAAGTGCGAGTTACACTCGCACTGAAATCGAGGGTTCCGTACTCGAAGCGAACTTATTTGGTATAAAAACAAATGTTTAAAAAATATGTGTTGTATGACAACTAATATAAGTGATACAAAAAGGAACAATTTTGTAAAATTCAAGAAAATTGTTCCTCTTCGTATCACTTATATTAGTTGTCATGCAACACATATTTTTTAAACATTTGTTTTTATACCAAATAAGTTCGCTTCGAGTACGGAACCCTCGATTTCAGTGCGAGTGTAACTCGCACTTGTCCGATTTTTAATTATTTTTTACTATTTTTTAATATTTAAACATTCTTGGCCCATTTTTCAACTATACATTTTTGTAGGAAAAAATTTTAGCTTTCGATTTAAAAAAATTGTACTTTTAACCCCGAAAAAGTCAAATTTATTTTTGAGTTTCATTTTCCTTGTCAAAACTTTTTTTTCAAAAATGCATGGAAAGAGAATCAAAAAAGCTTTCGAAAATGATATAGAGAAAACATTTTTATTTTGATATTTAAGAAAAAAAATTATTAAAGCACACAGTGTAGCGTAAAACCCTGATACATTCACCCTCCCACCTGTGTCGCAGTGTTCATAGCATGGCGAAACTTGTGAACATAAA